TGGTAAAGTGGTAAAGTCAAATGTCATAAACTCAAGTGTTCGTAAAGTCAAGTGTACTTGACCCCATGTATTCTCTATGTATTTTCTCTGCGGGGCTCCGCACGGAAGAACCCTTCGCGATGCTTTCGGGAAAACAGAACGACACATCTGCTCGCAAGCTCTGACAAACCAGATGTTGCGTTGGAACTCCTAAGCCATGAACGCTCAAAAACGGAGATGTTGGCTGGTCAACGTTTAAGACGAAACCTCACATCCTCAGAGCACGCATTTTATGAAAGCTTTGAAAGTCCGGCCAACCTGTATCTGAGACTGCGGCCCCAGGCGAGACATTGGGTTGGAAACCCAACTCGAAAAGCGAAATGGTGGCTTGCAACCCTAAGCAATTTGGACCGCTGTCAAACCCTAAACCCTNNCTAGCTAAACCCTTAACCCTAAACCCTAGACGCTAGACGAACATTAAACCCTAAAAACAGCAGAAGCGTGCGACACCCCAGAAACTGCTGGCTGTCATGTTTGGGCCAAACCCGAAATAAAAGCGGCTGGCGGACCCTGACGTCTACCGAAGCCGCCACATGCTTACGCGAAGTGTTCCCAGAGAGAAGTTACATGGAAACCCGACAAAAAATGAGAGGATCTTCAGTACAAAAAGCATCCAAGAATGTGATGCGTCACCTTGCAGCTCCGAGGAAAATCCCAACTGTTTTTGATCTCATCTACGAGTCATATCAGGTTACTTTTCAAGACAGGCCAGATCGTGCAGCTCTTTACACTGCGCCTTTCTTGTGGGGGTGCGTTCCAAAAGAGCAAAACAATGTTCGACGATTTTTCGAGTACCACTGAGCCGGCTACCGAAACTGATACAATGAGAATCAGCACGGCGAAGAAGAAGAATATCGCTGGCTCCAGCTTGACCATTGGGAGGTAGATCGCGGATATGTTATCCATGGTGATGAACTGAGTGAGAGTAACCATCGACATACCCAGCGAGCTGAAGTTCTCACGAATCACCGCGTTCGCAGCTGGATCGGACTGAAACCGGGGATTGACTGCAATGAGCTCAAGGCCCAAGACACCGAACACATACAGTACCAGCCTTGCTCGCTCGTTCCGTTTGCAGGCGTTTGAAGCAGGATGAGATCACATCGGTCACATGGGAAGGTTCAGGTTCGTAAAAGCACTCGAACCGAGATGTTAGGTACTGCTAGTTCTTAATCTTGCGTCGCCCGTCCAATACAAAATGCCCCTGCTATCGTCTCCGCCCAAGCAGCAACAACAGCATTAAGGTGGAAAGTACTGTGTCCGCTGAAGCCATGAGACCATGCACCAAGCGCCACAGAGGCTTGATCTGCTTGACCATGCGAAATGAACGGATGAGGCGAAAGAGGCGCAGCAAGCGCAAGACAATAATCTGCTGCTGTGCTTCACCGGCGACACCGGCAATGACACGCTCCAAGTACGAGAAAACCACCAGACTCAGATCAAAGAGGAACCAACCTTCACAGAATATCTTTGATCCTCCAGCCAGAACCCTCAAAACAATCTCAATGGTGTAGATGCCAAGCAGCACCACTTCCACAGGTGCAGCCCACTCGAGATTCCCGTCATCAAGGCGCAGCTCACTTTCAATCCCAATGATGACTGAATTCAGAACAATAGCTGCAAGAATATAAAGCTCAAAGACCCAGCTGTTCACAATTCGCACAGCAGCTTTCTGCAGGAATGTCCCAATACCTTCAGACCAAGCTGGAATATTGGCTCGTGTTTCGTTACGGATGTGATCGCGTAGAGCACCACTGGTTGCCTGCCTCCTGAAACTGGACTGCTGTAAAACCGTCGCCACACGAGCTGAGTCCTGAGATCTGTCGTGCGAGACTTCCTCTGGTGTGCTTCAGCACAAGTCTGTTCCTGCAAGCTCGATTCGCACGCAGCTTGCAACCAAGCTGCCGGAGCAGACTTCCCAACCACTGCTTCTGGTGGTGCATTTTGCGAACAGGCGGAACTTCTCACTGCCTTTGCAGCAGAAGCTAGCAACAGCAGCGGCACAGTCCTATATGGATGGAAATGTTCTTCTAGTTTCAGTTGCACCTACAAACCACAGCCTCTGTGCTCGCACTCGCTAATCCGATCTTTTCCTGCCCAGAAATACATCGGAAACTTGTCACGACAAGGAGAGCAAACAGAAAAAAGCACAAGAAGATCTGAAGTGTGCCAACAAACTGACAGCTCGCATCTGAAGGAACCTTCGAGGAACTACAAAAAGAAACATCCTGAACCGGCCTCTTGTTCTCCGTCTGTAGAGACTGGTTCTGCTGGGAAGCATGGCTCCTGGATCACCACCTCCACATCGCGAGTGCGTTGGGAATGCTTGTTGTGATATCGGATGAACACCCAGCAACGGAACCGTGACTGCCAGACGTGCCTGCTCTTTGCTCGCAGCGGTCGTGAGCTGGCCTTTGAGTCGTGCCAACACCGCGCGAGATCTGGAGGAGACGTCTTCCATGTGAAATAAGGCCGCCTGTACTGTTGCTTCAGCTTGTTGACGAAACTTGTGTAAGAGCACGACATCAAGCAGCAGAATAGCAGATTAACGTGAGTAATGCTTAGTCTGTTGGTGGGTGCCCTGCTCTGCCCTCTGCCCTGCCCTGCCCTCTGCCCTGCCCTGCCCTCTGCCCTGCCGTACCCTCTGCCCTGCCCTCTGCCCCTGCCCTCTGCTCTGCTCTGCCCTGCACTGCCCCGCGCAGCCCTCTGCCCTGCCCTTGCCCTGCCCTTGCCCTGCCCTGCCCTGCCCTGCCCTGCCCTGCCGACACATATACATACGCAAAAACACATGTACACATACACATACACGTACACACACACACACACATACACACACACACACACATGCACACATACACACACACACACACATAGACACATACATACAGACGTGCGTGCGTGCGTGCATGCGTGCGTGCGTACGTACGTACATGCATCATATATACGAGCAGTCCAATTACGTTAAACTCCCCACGAAACGATTTCAAAGAAACAAAAAAGCCTCGAAATTTTCAGTTACGTTTCTTCCGTCAAGTTTTTCGGCCAGTTTTTTAAACCAACCTTGCAAAGGCTTCCGTAAACCGTCTCCCCTTAACCCACGGCCCACCAACTGCATGTAATTACCTGCGGTTTGGGTTGTTCGGTTAAAGCGATTAAGCTTCTTCTCAATGAAGCTTGCAAAGGCTTCCCTAAACCCTATACCCTACCCCACGACCCTTGAAGCCAAGAAGCGGGTACAAAGAGCCAGAAATGTAGATCCATGTTGGGAACACCATATAAACATGTGCATATATACATATATATAAATATATATATATATATATATATATATGTATGTGTGTGTGCGTTACGTATTGACTTTTTGGTGATTTATCGGTGTGTTGACATATTTATGGGCTTGTACTCATATTAAAGTCTCCAGTTCTGTATACATATACATTCAATGTTCTTTTTTATTGTACTTACATTCATTTTGATATCTTTGCGTTTCGAGATGTTTCAATGTTTATAATTTTGGTACTTGCGGTTTTTGGCTTCTATACTTGTATAAATGACATGAGCACACTTCTGCAAGTCTGTATGCTAAGACATTTGTACAATTAAACATGCTCAAAAAATCCATACATACGCCGCGCGCGGCATCGTCATGCAGTTACATATGCATGTAGTCATATCGCTGTGGAGAGCAGGGTTAAGGAGTTATAGAGTTACATAGTTATACGGTTCTACAGCCCCTAAGTAATACGGTCATGTTTATGATGTGTATGTTTGTACACATACATAAACGAAGATCTAGGCATGTGCGTTTATATATCTTTGTATTTACGGGAATATTCGTAAAAGCAACACACTACTCTATGCATTTAACTGTGTATATATCCTTGCGCTTATGCACTTGTGTATCTATATAACTGTATGTTGCTATATTTCTGTATTTGTATATGTTTAAAACCTGCAGGTTGGTATGCTATACATTTATGTATTTGCACCTGTGCGTGCTGACTTACGTACATGTTGACATTTTGACATACCTGTACACGTACATCTGTTGGATTTCCTTCTAATCTTAGACTTTTACAATGATTCTATCTGTATTTTTGTAATCATAAACCGCTGGGTGTTTATCTTTCCAGCTTAGTATTCTGCAAAATATCTGTATTTTTGTTCATATTTCTATGTTTGTGTTCCGGTAGGTTTGCATAAAACTCAACCTGCTTGTTGAAAAGCATGAATGTGCCAATCTCCGATGCCGAAACTTGCGCCGCGCACTTGATTCGACGAGTCTTACCGTCTTACAGCGTCTATAACAGCATGTTTTTGGGTGTGTCCCATGCACTCGCTGATCTGGAACGCCATCTCAACAGCACCTGCAGGAGCTGCTGCTGTTCTTTGGCGTTGGCCAGTACTTCCTCTGGTACCTGGCGGTCGTTGAATCATGCTACTCCAAACTGTCTGCCTCAACGACTTACATTATGTGTTAGGCGTCAAACCAGCACACTTTCCAATTCCTTCCTCCAAATGAAGCCTTCCAGTCTACACTGTTGGCTTGTTACATTGTCGCCCAAGATGCTTGAAGCATTGATAGCTCCTGGATCGCACGAACCATCTCAAAGCTGCCATCCTCGTCGATGCTGTACCTCAATGTCACACTCAGTGTAACTCGGCTGTCCAACTTCCGTATAGATACCTCTAACTTTCATCATGAGCTGTATTTCCTGGCAGCTGCTTGTGGGCGTGGCTCGGAATCTGTCAAATTTCAACTTCTCAAACACATCCAACAACTGAAATGCTGTGCTTTGGAGGTTGCTGTTTCACGAGGAAGTCCGAAGAGTTGTGGCCGCTGAAGCTTGCCCCAGCAAGGCCATCGCACGTCGCAAGGCAAATCTGAGCTGTCATGCTGCCTACTTTGGGTCTCACGAACCTTCATGGCTTTCGAGTCAAACCAAAACAATCGCAACCAGCCCTCGCCACAATAATTTGGTTGAGAATCGCACACAATCAACACAAACAAGTTCTGCTCGCTGATCATGCCAGCAGAACAGAAGCCATGCAACTTAGAGGTTGGAAGATTCTGACGATTGGCAAGTGGTCTGAAAAGCATCAAGCAACTTTGTTTGCGAGGCGAGGCGCAGAAGGAACTCTTTCAATCCCTTGTGCATGCTTGAAATCTTCTAAAACTCTTCAGAACAAAGTGTCCGTGAAGGTGTTTTGTGAGGATGCCGCTCTTCTTTGTCGGACAAGAGAGTTAGATCGTTCGGTTGCCAGTCCGCAAACTGTGGGAGTTGGGCGTGGTCGCGTCTTTCATTCAGGGCCTTTGCGCTTCAAGGATTGGTCTTTCCCACACGCTTTTTTGCGAAGACATCATTTTCGTAAAATCATAGAGCCAAAGAAGCCGGTTGCTACTACTGCTACTGCTACTACTACTACTACTACTACTACTATTACTACTACTACCACCACTACTACTACAACTGCCACCACTGCTACTTCAGTCTGCACACAGTATACAAATTTTACAACCGAATTCAGCATCTATGCGCGGGGATTCCGGCCCCCCCCCCCCACCCCCCCACCCCCCCCCCCCCCCCCAGCTCCCCGCCCCCGCCTCCCCCCCCCCCCACCCCTTTTCCAACCAAAAAAACCACA